GTAGCAGTTACATCACTGGACTCCCACATGGCCAACCATGGTTCGAGTCCTGGACCCAGTGGCTTGAAAATCACATTGGGTATGTGTGTGGTCATGTCCAAGTTCCTGGGAGGAGAATGGAGAAGGGATTGCAGCATGGCCATCTCCCCTGGAAGGTGATTTCTCATTTTGCCTCTCACTGTCTCTGTCTGTCTCTTTCTCCAGTAAGTGCACATGCCCTAAGGGGAAAAAAACCTCTTAAAAAGAAGAGATTTATTTTTATTAATTATTATTTTTTCTCCAATTTGGTAAAGGGCATGTACATGAGAGAGAGAGAGAGAGAGAAAGAGAGAGATAGCAAACTACCAGATCTGGGACTCAAACTGCAGTTGGCCATGTGGGAGTCCAGAACCTTAACTACCACACCACCTGCTAGCCCCTATATCAAGTTTTGATGGCTACTGAGCCTCAGTCACAGTATGGACAGTCCTCCCCATTGCAGAGTAGATACATGATCTAACCCACAAGCTAAGAAGTTCAGGTGCCCACACAACTCTCACCAAGTGGTGATCCTATCTGCAATAATGCAGAGTTTTCTACTAGCCCCTTAAGGCATGAACTGCAACAGTTTTTAGGGCCTATGTTTATAAGCACTGATGCATTTTCAGCTGAAGCTCCTGATCTTGTTCCTTCTCCTATCAAGGAGAATGCTTCCAGTGCCAGATGATGCTTGGTGTACAGATGGCTCCTGTCGGGGTAACCCCCACAATGGAGAACTGTAGCACACCAGCCAGCTACAGAGACACCACCTGGAAGGGGTATGGCAAGAGATAGAGTAGCCAGTGAATAGAGCTCAGAGATGCATGGATTGTGATTGCTAAAGAAAAAGGGCCTTTAGCTATCTACACAGATCTCTGGACTATCTTTAAGGACTTACCCTGTGGATGGCACAAGGGCACCACCAACAATGGAACATTATGAACAAACCTTTGTGGGGCCAAGACATGTGGGAAGCAATTTATGAGATTACCAAGATGAAGACCACCACTATTTATAATGTGTCTGGTCACACCCCTCTTCAGAGTCCCAGCAATGAAGAAGCCGATGCACTGGTGCACATCCAATGGCTGGAAGTCCCTGCCAAAAATGTCATGGGGTGGCTTGACCAAGAAATGAAATGGGCTGGGCAAAAGACTTTATGGGAAATAACAGAAAGAAGCCTGAGGAATTCCTTTAAAATACTCGGACATTATAAAAGCTTGCAATGAATGTTCAGTGTGTTCAGAGTGGCAGCCTCACCTGTTACTGACAGAACAGGAACACAGCAAAAGGAGCAGCGAGCTCCTGACCTGATGACAGATAGCAGACCTCCCCTGTTTGGAAGGGGCCTCTTTTGCTTTGACTTGTGTGGATACCACCACAGGCATTCTACAAGCATTCCCAAGTCTGAGGGTCCCCAACATACTATCATAAAGGGGCTGCTGCAGTTATTTGCAGCTTATGGGATACCAGTAGCAATGGCCTAATGAGAGCATCAGATTGTGAGCCCCACCAGGGTGGGCACCTCATCTACCCTGCATTGCTATGACCCAGTGACCAGCATAGTTGCCTGCCACAATAAATACAATAAATATTTGCAGGCTCAGCTGGAGTGCATGTGCTGCTAAGACACAGTATGCCACAGGCTAGGACCACACAGGTGGTCTTGATTCCCAGTCCCAGGTTTGAGGGGCCAGGCATGATGGTGCGTACTTGTAACCCTAGTGACTGAAGAAGCTGAGGTAGGAAGATTTCAAGCTCGAGGCTGACCTGGGCAGCAAAGTGAGATACTAAGAGCCAGGCACAGTGGGACACACTTGTAACCCTAACTGGGAGATTGAGGCAGAAGGCTCTTGACCGGGTAAAACTTTATGTCTTATAAATAATAAATAAATGAATGTTTGTATAAGAAAGAAGGCTAGTGGTCCGTAAGAGTAAAGAGAAAGGAAAAGTACTGGGGTCTCTGTAAGTGACTCTGGTTATCCCCTGGTATCCCCAGATAAAATTATTTTCCAGGTCCCATCTATCAGATTATGTTTACCTATTTATCCAGACTTACCTAATTAATCTATTTGTTTCAATAGCTAACCACACTTATAAAACTCTTTAGGGGCCAGTAGGTGGCACAGAGGTTAAGGCAGTTAGATCGCACGTGACTGACTGAGTGGTTCAAGTCCTGGACCCCATGGCTTGAAAAATATACCAGGTATGTGTGTGTGCATGCTCAAAATTCCAAGAGGAGAATGGAAAAGGGATTGTGGTGTGGTGATTCTCCCTGGGAAGTGATTTCACTCCACCCCCCTCTGGTAAGTGCACATGTCCTATAGCAATTAATCAAATAAACAAAAAGCACTCTAGGAGGCCAGCAAGTGGCCTGGTGGTTAAGAGCGTTAGACTCCCACATGGCCAACTGTGGTTCAAGGCAAACCCAGTGGCTTGCTTTCTCATTTTTCTTCTCTATTAATTTCTGAGTGCTTATTTGAAAGAATGATGTTCTTTTTGTATTCTAATAAGGGAAGGTGTTGCAAATTTTGTTCTAAATGTAAAAGAGCCTAATTAGGCATTATAGCATCTTCTAAAATAGTAGATAAAGGTGGGCATTACTATCCCCATTGAAAGGGAGATAAAACCAAAGATGAATTCAGTAAGAATTGTTTGTGAAGTGAGAAGATAAAACCAGTTTAAACATTTTTCAATTCTGGAGTCAGCAGGTGGCATGGTGGTTAAGGGCGCTGGACTCCCACATGGCCAACCATGGTTCAAGTCCTGGACCTGGCGGCTTGCTTTCTCTTTCTTGCTCTCTGTCCCTCTCTGGTCAAATTAAAATAAATAAAGTTAATAAAATAATTCTTAAAAAAAAAAAAAAAAAAGGGAATATGGGACCAGCAGTTGGTGTAATGGCTATGTTGCTGGACTCCATGTAGTTGACTGTGGTTCGAGTCCCAGACCTAGTGAATTAAGCTCACTCTGGACACATGTACATGTGTGCCCAAAATCCCGAGAGGAGAATAGAGAAGGGGTTGGGGCGTGGCCATCCCCCCAGGGGGTGATTTCTCGCTTTCTTTCTCAAGTGTCTTTCTGGTGTGCACACATGCCCTATAACAAAAACCTCTAAAAAAAAAAAAAAAGAAAGAGCACAAACCCTACATTAATTTTTTTTTTTTTTTAACTTTCTAGTCAGTAGTTAACATTATCATAACAGGAAGCTTGGGAAATCAATGGTTCCCAACTTACAGGCCTGACTGTATCTAAAGCATCTGGAAGGCTGTTACAAGTGCAGATTCTCAGGCTCTACACCAAAGGTCAAGGTGATTCAGATCTAGAGTCATATTTCAGAACACAGACAACAGTTTAACAAAATGGATAAGCCAATGAAGACTTGCAAACCTAAGTTCTCCAAGTTTTTCAGATGTGGCCCCTTGGAAGTTTCTTTCTTTCTCTCATGAGCAAGAGAGACACAGAGAGGCAGAAGAGATAGAGAGGCAATACTCCCAACAGGGTCTTCATGCTGTGATCCACTCCTAGGCTTCAGCCAGCCACAGATCATGTGCATCTGTATATGTTGAGGGTTCAGGAAGGTTTCAGGACACGAATCCAGAACCGTTCCGTGCGGGTCAGCCTCAGAACATTACAATACTGCTGCATCACCATCTGGCCCCAGATGTGCCCTTTTTAAATTATAATAGCTGGCTTAATTATGGTTTTCACTCCTACTGGACCCAAGTAAGTAAGTGAATAAAGCAAAAGGTAGGAAAGAAAGGAGTTCACTATTCTAATTCCTATGTAAGGGATCTAGTACATTTAGAGACTGAAAAGGGGAAAGAATAAAAAACAACTAGAGCATCTTGAGCAGATCCCATAGTGTATTTCCTTTTTTCTTTCCTTCTTCCTACACATATTTATAAGGTGCAGCCAAATAAAGAACTTGGTACTGTTCTAAGCACTGGAGATACAATAGGGAATAAAACATCCAGACATCTCAGCCCTTATGCAGCTTACTCTCTAGTAGTGAGAGAAAAACCATTAAGTAAATAAAGCATGAAGTATGTCAGATGGTGATAAGTGCTGTCGAAAAAAATGTTATAAATGTGTGTGTGTGTGTATACATATATATACACACATAAATATATATATATGAAAGAAGCCAATCTGAAGAGGCTACATACTAAATGATTCCAACCATGACATTCTAGAAAAGTCAAACAGTGACTGTAAAAAAACGGGTGATTGTCAGCAGGGAGGGGGGAGAGATGGCCTAGTAAAGAACAGGGGCTTTTTAGAGCAGTGAAACCATTCAGTATGTACTGCAATGACTGATAAATATACATCTGTCAAAACCCACAGGAGGTACAACACAGAAAGTGAACCCTAACATGAACTATGAACTTTAGTTAATAATAATAATATATCAATACGGCTCAACACTTCTAACAAACACGCCACAGTAATGCAGGATGCTCATAACGGGAGATTAGGGCTGAGAAGGGAGTAAGGCCTATAGGCACTCTGCACTTACCACTCATTTTACTTGAAACCTAAAATGGCTAAAAATTGTGTTAATTAAAATAACAACAAACAGCAGAATAGGAAGTGGAATGTGTGCATGTTGGGTGTGTAGGGAGGTCGCCTTGAAGGTTTAGGTCTGGGAGATGAGGGAGTCACCTCAGTGTTCTGAACTCTTTAGGGCCATAGAGTCAGGTGTCAAGATAAAGGACAAAATAAGATTAGTGATGACAGGTGAAAAATTTGTGGGAGGTGGAGGCTTTCTGGTGATGAAGATGCCAGGATGGGGGCAATCTTATTCTGACAATAAGTGTTTTGCTCTTCCACAATCAGCAAAATTTATTGAGCTTTCTTGCCTATAAAAGGGGACTGTAGAAACCCCTGTACCGCATTCTTCCCTTTTGCAAGAAGTAACTAGTGCTGCAATCTGCCCTTAGTTTTATGTTTGAGTATCACTGCTGGAAAGTGACTGTTCCTACCAAGAAAACGGGTTTTGAACTCTTGAGTCCTTTGAGTAGATCCACGTTTATATGAAGGTAGCCGTTTCCAGGAGCCGTCTTCACATTTCTTCATAAACTGGTCAAAGAGGAGTCTTATGTCCTGACTCCAGCTGGGGTTAGGGAGAGCAAAGTCTACAAGAATGTCTTTCTCAGAAGAAAATGACCTCTAAGAGAAAGAAAGAAAAAAAAAATGAGAGGTGCATCCTGTTTCATAACACATTCTCCTATTTTCTAAGACTATCGCTGCTTTTTCCAAGAAGCTTACCATTTCAAAATGAAAGGGAATTTCAGAAACAACCTGGTCTTACCACCTTGGGATATATGAGAGATTGAGGAGGGTAAATTATTTTCCCAACATCATGCAGTTAACTATTATGAAAGTCAGCATGAAGGCCAGGTCTACTGATTCCATTGCCCCTCCTCCCCAAAAACATTAAATGCAGGTGAGCCAGGCACTAGCTATAAAGGGAGACAAGGACAGATACCATCTTTCACATAAAAAGTGCTACCAATGGGGTATGTAAATATGTAAAGCACAGGGAGAGAGGTAGTCACCTCAGATTGGGGGTCCAAAGAGGAGTTCTTTGACTTGACTGTTGAATACAGACAAGGAGAAATTAGCCAGCTAGAAAGGGAATTATAGGCAAAGGAAAAATATCATGTGCAAAGAGGCATGAAACAGTTTTGAGTGACTTTACTGCAACAAAATGAAGCAGATACTAATTATTACTCCCATTTTACAAATATTGAAATTAAGGCCTAAAAGAAGTCTGGCATTCTTATAGTGCAAGAGGAGGAGCAGATGGCTGCAGAGATGCAGGCAAAGCCTCAATACTGGTTTGAATTATATCTGCAGTGACATGACCAGGTCTGGCAATAACATGAAAGATGGATTTCCAAGAGTGGAATTAGAGGGCCCTATTTGGAGACTGTTGAGATAAACCAGTTCAGAAATTATCAAACTGAATCAGAACGTGGTTACTATTTGGGTAAGGAGAGTAAGAGAAAAGGAGAAATACAAAGGCAACCTCAGGTTTCTAAATAGCACAATGTGGTGAATGACGAGTCAAATTATCAAGAAAAGTTATAAGAGGAGGAGGAAGTTTAGGAGATGTGCTTGCTGTCACAGTAGTCATGCTTCCACTAATTCTATTTCTTTGCAGCACTGAGTATTGCTACCATTTCAGTGCAGAGGGTTTCAGAAAATGTGGAACAGAAAGAAAAGAACGGGCCAGATGGCAGTGTAACTGATGCAACTGGACCCACATGGGAAAGTTGCTAGGTATGCTTCCTCGGGTCCCCCTAAGCACCCCAGCCATGCTAGGTGTGCCCGTGACTGGCTGGCTAAAACTGTCATGAAGACCTGTTGAGGATTTTTTATCTCTATCTTTTAGAAATAAATGAAAAATCTTAAAAATAAATAAAAAGAGCTGGCCCCATAGTGTACCAGTTAAATGCTACAAAAAGGAAGCTGGATCCACCTGGCTAATAGAGTTGCAGTTCCAGCTCTGGTGGCTCAAAAAAACATTCCAAGTGCCTGGGTGTCCAGGATTCTATCGAGATAAAGAATTGGATAGGGGGCCAATAGGTGGCATGGTGGTTAAGGCCCTGGGCTTCCACTCAACTAAGTTTGAGTCCTGGACCTGGTGGCTTGAAAATCATGCCAGGCACGTGTGTGTGTGTCCAGAATACTGAGAGGAGAATGAAGAAGGGACTGCAGTATGGCCATCCCCCATGGGGTGTGATTTCTCACTCTCTCTCTCTAGCAAAAACATATATATATATATATATATATATATATATATATATATGTATATATATATATATATGAGAAAAGGTTTGTGGTGTGAGCAGGCCGGTGGGAGGGTGAGTTCTCTTTCTCTCTCCTTCCTTACCTTTCTCTTTCTTGCATGTGCACATGCCCTCTGGCTTAAAAACAAAAACAAAAACAAAACACCATGGCCTGGTGGTTAAGTAAGCTGGATCTCACATGGCCAACTGTAAATCTTGGCCCTTGTGGCTTGGAAAACATGCTAGGTACATGTGCATGAATGCCCAAAATCTCAATAAGATGGAGAAATGGAAAGGCAGAGATTATGTTATGACCATACCCTTCCGAGAGGTATTTCTTCCCTCTCCCTCTCTGGCGTGTTTATGTTTCCTCTGACAAATATGCAAACAAAAATGCAAACAAAAAACCCCACTCATTACTTCTCCTTCTTAATACAATTGATGGTAAAACTTTAATGTATTTCCCTTACATTTTTTAAACGGGATTTTTCTTAAATATTCTTGTAATCTTGGTTTGCAGTGCAATGTATAGAAAGCCAGATTCTATTTCGCCCAGCATGGCTTCAGTCCTTGCCCTGGTAGCTAAAAACATGCCAGATATGTGTGCGTGCATGCCCCAAATCCTGACAAAATGGAAAAATAGAGGAAAAAGGACTTGTTGACCCTAATGCAGGACTTAATTTCATCTTCTAGCTCAATGTTTCCAAAGACCAGTATGTAAGATAATTTAGGTGGCACAAGCACAAAGATATATGTATTTTAAAATACTGGAAAATATTTACATATCATGTATGTAATAAATCGCACATCACGCTTATAATTTCAAAAATCTTTTTTCTTTTTAATTTGCTAGAAGGCACATGTACTTACTAGAGATGAAGACAGGGAGAGAGAAAGTGAGAAAGCACCCACCATGGCAGATGGTCATGCCATAATACCCTCTCTTCTGTTTCTCCGTTCAGAATTTTGGGCATGCATGTATATATGAGCAGTGTGTTTTTCTAGTCACTGGGTCTGGGACTCAAACTGTGCAGTTGGCCACGTGGGATCCAGCTATCTCAACCACAATGCCACTGGCTTGTCCCAAAAGTTATTGCTTCAATAAAGCTAATTAAAGAAAGGGAATCTTTAAAGAATCATGAAAGTGGTACTTAAGCGATAAAACATCTTTTCTATTATGGGAAGCCTTAAGAACTTTCAAGCAAGGGAGTAACATGAACACAAGTTTTAGAAAACTCCATCAGGTTCAATCTAGGAATACTATATGTGTCCAGAAATGTGCCCATCTCATCTAGGTTTTGCAGTTTGTTGGCTTATAGTTGCTCATAGTATTCTCTCATGATCTTTTGTATTTCTGTTAAATCTGTTGTAATATTGCCTGTTTCATTACTGATTTTATTTGTCTGGTTCTTTTTTCTTAATTAGTCTAATAGTTGGCCAATTTTATCAAAAAAACAGTTTTTGTTTCATTGACTTTTTTTGTATTTTTCTTTGATTCGCAACTTCATCTTTAATTTTTATTATTATTATTTTCTTCTGGTATTGTTGTTATTGTTGCTTTTCCAGTCCCTTGAGATGCATCATTAGGTTATTTATTTGTCACATTTTAATTTTTCTTTGGACACTAATTGCTATAAACTTCTATGACTTCTTTCACTGTGCCCCCCAAAATTATGGAGAATCATGTGTTTATTATCATTGGTTTCAATGAATCTCTTGATTTTGACCTTAATAGAAAGCTTGAATAGACCAATAAAAAGCAATGAGATTGAATCAGTAATAAATAGTCTCCCAAAAAGAAAAAGACCAGGTCCTCAAGGCTTCACTTCTAAATTCTACAAAATTTTAAAAACATTTATTTAATTTTATTATTATTATTATTATTACCTAAAATTTGTTATAGGGCAAGTGAGAAAGCAGCAAAAACTCTCAACAAGATACTAATAAGTTGAACCCAATAGTACATTAAAAAGATTATAGGGACCAGCAGGTGGCATGGTGGTTAAGGTGCTGGACACTCCCACATGGCCGATCACGGTTCGAATCCTGGACCTGGTGGCTTGCTTTCTCACTTTCCTCTCTCTCTCTCTGTGTGTGTCTCTCTCTGGTCAAATTAAAATGAAGGAATGAATGAATGAATAAATAAATCTTTATTTAAAAAAAAAAAAAGATTATATGCCAGGCCCAGCAGGTGGTGTGGTGGTTAAGGCATTGGACTCCCACATGGCAGTCTGTGGTGTGAGTCTCAGACCTGGTGGCTAGCTTTCTTACTTTCCCTCTCTCTCTGTGTCTCTTCCCTGGTGAACTAAAATAATAATAATAATAATAATAAACAAGTAAAATGAAATAAATAATTCTTTAAAAAAAGATTAAAAAAAGATTATACACTATTACCAGGTAGGCTTTATCCCAGAGATTCAAAGAGGGTTCAACATATGCAAAACCATATATCACATTAACAAAAGGAAAGATAAAAACCATGCAGATAAAACACCTGATAAAATATAACATGGTTTCATGATTAAGACTCTCAGCAAAATAAGTACAGAGGGACATTTCTCAACATAGTAAAAGCCATATATGACAAACTCATAGCTAGCATCATACTGAATGGGGAAGAGTTAAAGGTTTTCCCACTAGGAATTGTAACAAGACAAACCTGTTCACTTTTCCCGCTCCTTTTCAACATAATACTACAAGTCCTAGACAATCAAACGAGAGAGTCAAAAGGCATCAAATAGGAAAAGAAGAAGTGAAATTGTCCCTATTTGCAAATGATATGATTATATACATAGAACCCCCCCAAATCCATAAAGAAACTCCAAGAAGTGATTAATGAATTCAGTAAAGTGCAGTATCCTAAATCAATATACAAAAATCTGTTACGGTTTTATACACCAGCAATGACTGGACTGAGGCAAAGCTGAAGAAAGAAATCTCATTTACAACAGATACACACATATGCAAACATGAAAAACCCAGGAATAAACTTAACCAAAGAGGTGAAAAACCTCTACAAGGAAAATTATGTCAAAATGAAAAAGAAATTAAGTATGATACCAAAAAAAGACACTCCTTGTTCTTGAATAGAAAGAAATGACAATCAAAATGTCAATTCAATAGAAATTAATTTAGAAATTAATGTGACTCTGATCAAATTACTAGTGCCATTCTTCACAGAAATTAAAAAAATAATATAATTTGTCTGGAATCATAAAAGTTCCCATATGACCCAGGCAAGACTGTGCAAAGAGAATAAAGTAGAAGGCGCCTCATTACCTGACTTGAAATGTGATAATCAAAACAGTATGGTACTGGCACAAAAAGGCACATAGACCAAAGGAACAGAAAAGAAAATCCAGAAATAAACCCCCAACCATATGGCCAATGATTTTTGACAAATGACACAAGACAATCCAGTGGAGAAAAGAAAATCTCTTCAGCAAGTGATGTTAGAAGAACTGAATGTCCACCAGCAGAAAAATGAAACTGGACCTGTGTCTTTTACCATTAACAAAGACCAACTCAAACTGGATCAAAGATCTAAATGTAAAGCCTCAAATTAGAAAACTACTAGTGGAGAACAGGAGAAACACTTGAAGTAATTGAAGTAGGCAGAGATTTCAATCTTAAGTAAGACCTGCAAGCAAAGGCAACAATTTCTAAAAAGAGACAAGTGGGATTATATCAAACTAAAAACTTTTTGCACAGCAAATGAAACAAAGAGTGAAAAGACAACCCATAGAATGGGTGAAAATATTTGCAGACTATGCCTCAGATAAGGGATGATAACCAGAATATACAGTGAACTCAAGTAGCTCACTCACAAAAAAATAAGTAATCCAAATTAAAAATGGGCAAATAAGGGACCAGCAGATGGCATAACGGTTACATTGCTGGATTTCCATGTGGACGACTGCGATTTGAGTCCTGGACCAGGAGCTTGAAACTCACACCATTGCAGCATGGCCATCCCCGCTGAGGGGTGATTTCTTGCTTTCTGTCTCTCTTTATCTTTCCTGTGAGTGCATACACCCTATAGCAAAAATCTCTTTTAAAAAAATAAGAAAAGGGCAAATGAACGGAATAGACCTACAAATGGCCAAAAAGCATATGAAAAAATGTTCAATGTCTCTCATCATAAGGGATATGCAAATCAAGACCACAATGAGATACCACTTAACCCTAGTCAGAATGGCTATGATTTTAAAAAGAATGAATGACAAGTGGTGGAAAGGGACCCCTGTTACAGGGTTGATGGGAATGTAAATTAGTATAGCCACTGTGGAAAACTATATGGAGTTTCCTCAAAAACCTACAAAAAGAACTACCATCTGACCCATTAATCTCACTCCTCAGTATTTACCCAAAGGACAGGAAAACAGTCAGAAAGACACTTTCACATTCTTGTTTATTACAACACTATTTGCAATGCAATATAAGTGCGCAAGAACTGATGACTGGACTGATAAAATGTGGCACGTATACAATCTGGAATACTACTCAGCCATGAAGAATGAGACCCTGGCATTTGATACAAAGTGGATAACTATAGAAGATTTAATGCTAAATTTAATAAACCAGACTATGAAAGACAAACTTTGTATGTCCCTGCTCAATATACACTGTGGACTATGAAGAAAAGCTTAAAGATATTTAGGACAGTGAAACTAAGGGATGTAGTGAGTTACTGATTGTGGTGAACGGAAAGTAGAGAAGTCTTGGATTATTAGAGTTGTGGCTCTGAATACTGGGGTGAATAGAAGAAAAAGAGGCTTTTGTTAGTGTGTTCGTATATAAGTGTATAGGGGTGGCAGCCAGGAGAGGGCAAAAACGGGGAACGACTCGTTTTAGTTTGAGACATGTTCATGTTGAATGCATTACCCCATATGAAGACAATAACATTGTAGGAAATAAAAATAATAAAATTTCAGTTCAAGGAGGTGAGAACTAAGCGCTATTTTAAAATTCACAGAATAGACAGACTGTACAGTCATGCATAGTGTAACAACTTTTCAATCAATGATGAACTACATATATGATTGTGGTCCCATAGAATATAATAGGTTTGTGTAAGTACATGCTCTGATGTTCACATAATGAAATCGCCTTTTTTTTTTGGAGAGGTTTTTGCTATAGGGCGCGTGCGCTCGCCAGACAGACAGAGACAGAGAGGCAGAAAGCAAGAAATCACCCCCCTAGGGGGGATAGTCACTCCGCAATCCCTTTTCCTCCAGTCTCCTCTCGGGATCTTGGACACGCGCACACACGCGCCTGGCGTGATTTTTAAGCCACCGGGTCCAGGACGCAAACCACGGTCGACTACGTGGGAGTCCAGCGACATAGCCATTACGCCAACTGCAGGCTCCCATGAAATCGCTTTATGATTCATTTTTCTCTCAGAGTATGTGTTAAGCAACACATGACTGTACATGAAAGATAAATGCTAGGGATATTCATTACTTTCTGTTACCCTAAATAAAGTCTTGCTTGACCACTGGTTATACGTTTATAAAGCAGAACTTGTTAAGAAAAGTTATGACTTTCTTTTAATGTTTCCTTTTAAGTTACTGAACAAAAGGAAATATGACTTACAAAGCCTGTGAATACTAATACTTAAATATTCTCAGGATATTACAAGGCACCAACATATAATTAAATAAATTGTTGTTAGATGCAAGATTGTACAGGATTAGAGACCAATCTGCACTCATTATTCTTTAAAAGAAATTATTAGAGAGACTATATTTATCTAAATTACTGAAGTCCTTTTTCAGTTCTTGCTCAGTATATAGTCCCTCTTCTGTGTTCTCTTCATACATTATTCTAGTATACAGTATATACTTATTTTAATTTTGCACTTCATTTCATTCTTCCAAACTAGATTGTAAGCTCCTTGAGAGAAATGACTATTTCTACCTATTGTGTATCATCAGTGGCCAAATAATGGCCGCATACTGTTAGGATTTAATATCAACTGAACATATCAATGAAGCAAAGAAAGAGGCACTATTTGATACCAAGAATTGTTTTAAACGCTCTCCTTGTAGTATCTTATTTAACCTTAAAGTAAAAAAAATATATTTCTTCCATAAACGAGAGAGTGAGAGTGAGAGTGAGAGAGAGAGAGAGAGAGAGAGAGACAAGCACCCTCAACAGGATGTATATTCAAGGCATTCAGAGAGGGCTCCTGACTTGAACCTGGAACTTTCCTACACAAGTCAGCATTCAGCATACGGAGGTGCCCCTGGTGCTGTCGCTTCATTTAATGCCTCCACATCCCCAACCTTTGACCAGAGAGAGAGACAGAGAGAGAGAGACAAAAGAAAAGTGAAAGCACCCTCCAAAATGGGCAGAATCACACGCCATCCTCCAAAAGAGGCAGAGTCATGCTACCCTCCAAAGGGGGCAGTCACACGCCACAATCCCTTTTCCATTTTTCCATCCTCTGGGGATTTGGGGCGCCCAACTACACAGGCCTGGTGGGTTTTTCTTGCAGCTCATTAGAATTGCAGTTGTCCATGTGGGATCCAGCTCCCTAACCACTAGGCACGGGCCAGCTTGCCTCATTTAATCTCCCTCTAAAGATGAGGACGCAGGCTTAGAAAAAGCATATATAATCTGACAAGCAGACACTACTAGCTTCCCAAGTTGGTTGTCATTCTCAGAAAGAAGCAAAGTCTGAGACTATCAAGATTAAGCCAACTCTTCTCCGGAGCTCTGGTTATAAACCAGACTGCCTGCGTTCAGATGCCAGCTATGCCACAGGTTTCTGTGTGACTTCGCTTGACCTTCATCAGTATCGGTAGTAGCGACGGCTTTTTCTCCAAGGCCCTCAGGAAAGCATCCTGCACAGTGTTTCAAAACTGTCTTCTGGGAACCAGCAGTTAGCGTAATGGCTATGTCGCTGGACTCCCACGTAGTCGACCGTAGTTCGTGTCCCGGACCCGGTGGCTTAAAACTCACGCCGGGTGCGTGTGCATGCCCAAGATCCCGAGAGGAGAATGGAGGAGAAGGGATTGCGGCGTGATCATACCCCCGGGGGGTGATTTCTCGCTTTCTGTCTCTATGTCTCTCTCTGTCTGTCTGGCGAGCACACGCACCCTACAGTGAAAATCTCTCCAAAAAAAAAAAACTGTGTCTTCTAGGACCAGCAGTTAGCGTAATGGCTATGTCGCTGGACTCCCATGTGGTCGACCACGGTTCGAGTCCTGGACCCGGTGGCTTAAATTCACGCCGGGCGCGCGTGCATGCCCAAGATCCAAAGAGGAGAGAATGGAGAAGGGATTGTGGCGTGGCCATTATCGCTGGGGGTGATTTCTTGCTTTCTGTCTCTGTCTTTCTGGCGAACCCAACCCCATAGCAAAAACCTCTCCAGAAAAAAACGAGAACAAAACTGTGTCACCTTCCCGACCAGTTTCTCAGTTGGAGCTGGGGTGGAGGGGTAGTACTCCCGAGCCCCAGTGGTCCCCCCCCCCCCCCCCGCCACTAGCTTTTCTCTAGAGCTCGGCTAGCTGTGGTAACAGATAAACCCTTAAGCGGACCCTGCATTACAGGCTGGCTTCCGGCTGTGAGCGGTCCCTGTCCCCCACGCCTAGCCGGGACTCACCGGCGCGGGTCCTGGCTCGCTGGCCGGCGGCCACGCGCCTCCCCAGGGGCCGCGCAGGGCCCCCAGCGTGCGCAGGCGCGGGGCGCAGCTCCTCAGCATGGCTCCGAGTGGCCTGGAGCGGGAGCCGGCGGGGAAAGGCGTGGGACTGGCGGGGCGGGGCTGGAGGGGGGCACGGCGCGGACTAACTTGGGTCGGCGTTTTGGTTCCGGGAGACTTCGCTGGGGACCGCGCGGGGGTCACTTCCGGGCCGCTCGACAGCAGAGAAAGCTCCTGGAGCGACCCCTCTTACGCCGGGGGACGTTCGCCTCTGGAACCCCGCGCTGCATAGGGCGGATTCGGTCTTCCTTCCCCTCCGGAGTAGGCCGAGGGCCCTGCTCTTTACACTCACGTTCTTATTCCCTGGAAGATTTAGGTCTCTCTGTTGTACCCCGGTTGCAAAATTCCTAAGAGGTCACCAAGGAGCGGATACCGATGTAAACACACAAGAGTCGCTTTTATTCGGGCTGGAGTCAGGACTCCCAATTTTATGGCCCAGCGGGTCAGAGTTGAGAGCCCTGTGTTAGTTGGGCTGAGTTTTTAATTGGCTGTTGGGGAGGAGGTCTAGGAATGCAGGCAGGTGGCTACACATTGGCCTTAGATTTCAAGAAACATAGTTGTCTTTTACTGGTTGGCAAGACAGTTACTTCAGGTCTCTGGTATTTCCTGTTTCTTATCATTGGCCAACCCCGTGGAGTGATAGTTTTATGACCTTCTCCAAAGTCATTGGGTCACCTCCTTTGAAATGGCACCAATTCTCAGCAAGGTGGGTGTAATAAAATGGAGGCACTCTGGCCTTTCATCTCTGCTGGCCGGGGAACGCAGACCAGGACAGGTAAAATAGTGTTTTCTTGTAGGGCATGGACAGTCCCTGGGATCGATTTGGTAGTGTCCATGTACAGCCAGCGAAGATTAAAATGCTGTTTTCTGGGCCTGACCCCACTTCCCCACGCGCGTGCTTGCGCATCTAAAAGCCCCTCAGTCAGGCTTTTTCAAGTAAACATCCTACGAATTTCATAGATGCGTGGGCTGACTGCTAAAGCTCATCCCTAGCTTTGCCGTAGGAACTCAGACTTACTACTTACTAAGAACTGGCACAAACTTCACTTGCCTCTGGTTCTTTCTGGTGTAAGTGCTAAGAAGAATGTACAGTATATCAAGTTTCACTATTACTCTACCGCTTTCAAGGAAATAGTGGCCAGGCTAGTGGAGCCTGATTGTCAGAAGTTCAAGACTTTAGCTAAGGAGATTTTTTGTTGTTGTTGTTGTTGTTTTGAGGGGCTAGAGATTGCTTGCACCTGCTAAAGAGAAAGCGACAGACAGGGAGAGAGACCTAGGAGCACCTTCAGTGTGTCATGGTCATGTTGGAATCACTTCTCCATTTCTCCCTCCTTTCAGGATTTTGGGCCTACACACAGGTCCTCGATCATCTCTTACCATTTTTCAAGCCCTCAGATCCACTCAGTCGTCCACGTGGGGTCTTCTGAGTCCTTCATAACATCAGGCTGTGATAGGCAGGTAGTTAGTAATGAGCAGGTAGCCCTGAAAAAATAGCAGGACACATGTCACATCAATCCCAATTTATCAGGAATTACAACTAGACCCTCCATAAAAATGACTTCTTCCTACCCAGCTCCTGGCACCAGGAAGGTGAGGCAAATCCCATTTTTCTTCCTTGGTACCTGAGGAAGACACATAGGGATGATGGTAAATTTTCCTCTTATCATTCTTTATAAATAAATACAAGGAGACCCAACCAGATGATTTGCTCAACATCCTGATTCCCACTGGGACAATAAACTAATCGAGTAGCTCATCATAATAAGGATGGTCCTATCATCATGGCTTGCACTGCGCATGCACACTTAGGTCATCAAATTCCTCAAATTCTTCACCTGTGAAAGAGACAGCCAAACACAGGAGAAAGGCAGAATCCAGACAACATAAATAGTATGACAGACCTCCCACTGATAAATGTTCATTATCACCTCTATTAATAGAAGTAACACTTAAACCAGTTCCAAAAGCAGTTGCTACCTAGCAGCCTGCCTGCCCAAGAGTCTTTTGGGTGTACTTCTTTTCTAAAATCTTTCTTTCCTATTAAATTCTCTTTTTTACCCACTTCTTTTGTGGTTGTGGTTTTATTTTGCGCTGAGGGACGGGTCTCTAATTTTAGTGGTCTGGACCCAAAACCCAAGGATTTTATACAACACAGCTCAGCACTCTCCCATCCTACGACAAGGCCATGGGCTGGCCCACTACCCAGTTCTTAAACAAAAATTTTTTTTTAATTTATGTCAGCTTACAATTAAGTTATATTAAAAACAAAGGTAAGCAATACTAAAAAGGTAGTACAACTTAGTGTACTATATTTTAGTATTCTCTGTGGTCTTGAGTTATTTATGCCTGTTGTGTTTATGCAGTGGTAATACGAGTCGCTTTTCTTAACTCTGTATTCAGCGATATTATAGTGGAGCTTGAAATCAAACTGCTTATGAGTATTCACTCAGTTACAGTAAATTTGGGTTCATTCTACCTCCCCCTTTATTCAACATGTATCAGTATACCACAATCCTGGTCTATCCTCAGATGTCAGGTGCTGGATAGTTTTGTGTTCCTATAGCCTCCTGAGTTCTGTTCTGGGATACACTTAAATTACTTGGAAACAGTGAGATCCTCTTTAAGATTTGCTAAGAAGGGCCAGAGCAGCGATGAGTCTAAAGCAAATTTTCTCAACCTCAGCTCTATTGGCATTTTGAACCAGAAGAGTCTGTTGGGAGGCAGGAAGGGCATGCCGTCCTGTGTATTGTAAGGTGTTTAGTACCATCCATCCCTGGGCTCCTCACTAGATACTAGTAGCACCTCTCCTCTAGTCCTGACAATCAGAAATGTCTCCAGACACTGCCAGATGTTCCCCGTGGAGCAGGGAATAAAATTACTCCTGGATGAGAACCACTAGTCTAGGGCCAATTACTTCCCACTGCTAAGGAGAGGCCTTTTGAATGCTGAAACCAATACCCTGTGACTCATGAAGCTTTCCCGTCAGGCTTGTTCTAATTCTCTCAAGTAGTTTTTCTCCTCCAGTGTCAGTGGCTGCTTACATACATGCACTGATCTATACTCTCTGAACACCCTCTGCAGATTTCCAGAGTTCTTTCTCTGTGTAGTTCTTTCTCTCCTCTCTAGTACTCTGTCCTGCAAATGCTAGCCACCGTGTCTCCCATACTCCATTGCACTCCCTCAACTTGCAGAGTCCTTCCTTGTCTACCAGCCTGGACACTGTCTTAAGCTAATTGCAAGACTCTCCCCTCGTTTGTTCCCTGTCTCTCAGGAATCACTGTTCCTGGGAACCAGCAGTTAGCGTAATGGCTATGTCGCTGGACTCCCACGTTGTCGACCGCGGTTTGCGTCCCGGACCCGGTGGCTTAAAACTCACGCCAGGTGCATGTGTGTGCGTGCCCAAGATCCTGAGAGGAGAATGGAGGAGAAGGCATTGCGGCGTGACCATCCCCCCTGGGGGGTGATTTCTCGCTTTCTGTCTCTATGTCTCTCTCTGTCTGGCGAGCGCACGCGCCCTATAGCAAAAACCTCTCCAAAGGAGAAAAAAAAAAAAAAAAAAGGAATCACTGTTTCTCATTGTTAGGTGTCCAGTGGCTTAAAATTGTTTCATACAGTCTGGGGTCAACCTAAGTGTCCATCAGTGGATGATGGCATGGGGCCAGCAAGAGGCATGGTGCTAAAGCACTGGACTCCCACATGGCTAACCGTGGTTTGAGTCCTGGACTCGGCGACTTGCTTTCTTACTTTCTCTCTCTCTCTCTCTCACTCCTTGTCTCTTTCTCTAGTAAATTAAAATAATAATAATAATGATAAATAAGGGGCCAGCAGGTGACATGGTGGTTAATGGCACTGGACTCCCACATGGCCAACCACTATTTGAGTCCCAGACCTGGTGGCTTGGTTTCTCACCCACCTCCCCACCTCTGTCCCCCTCTGGTCAAATTAAAATAAATAAATAAAGTTAAAATAAAATAATAAAAAAATAAAAATAATGATAAATAAAATTAAATAATTCTTTAAAAAAGATGACGGGATAAAGAATAATGGCACTGGACTCCCACATGGCCAACCACTATTTGAGTCCCAGACCTGGTGGCTTGGTTTCTCACCCACCTCCCCACCTCTGTCCCCCTCTGGTCAAATTAAAATAAATAAATAAAGTTAAAATAAAATAATAAAAAAATAAAAATAATGATAAATAAAATTAAATAATTCTTTAAAAAAGATGACGGGATAAAGAAAATATGTGTTGGGACCAGCAGTTAGCATAATGGCTATGTTGCTGGACTCCCACGTAGTCAACCTCGGTTCGCATCCTGGACCCGGTGACTTAAACTCATGCCGGGCTCGTGTGCGTGCACGCCCAAGATTCCCGAGAGGAGAATGGAGGAGAAGGCATTGCGGCGTGGCCATCCCCCTGAGGGGTGATTTCTCGCTTTCTGTCTCTCTGTCTCTCTCTGTCTGGCGAGCCCCCCCCCCAAAAGAAAAACCCCCCCAAAAAAAAAAAAAAAAGAAAATGTGTGTATAAGGGGGGTCTTCAAAAAGTTCATAGAAATGAATTATGTATTATAATTTGTGAAAAAAGTATGCATGGGTTCCAACATATTTCTTTGCACTAAAATAAACTTGTACTTTAAGTTCATTTTCCACGAAATTTGTGAAGTCCTCATGTACACAATGGAATACTATTCTGCCTTAAAAAAAGATCTGGCAGCAGCAGTGTGCGATAGATGCACCAAAGCAAGATTCTGCATGGTTGAAGGATGACTCTTCTTTTTTTTTTTTTTTTTGAGAGATTTTCACTGTAGGGCGCATGCGCTCGCCAGACAGACAGAGAGAGACACAGAGACAGAAAGCGAGAAATCACCCCCCGGGGGGATGGTCACGCCACAATCCCTTCTCCTCCATTCTCCTCTCGGGATCTTGGGCACGCACACACACGCGCCCGGCGTGAGTTTTAAGCCACCAGGTCCGGGACACGAACCGCGGTCGACTACGTGGGAGTCCAGT